TATATATATATATATATATATATTCACACATATGTTAAAACCCACCCGATGATCATTCCCTTCTATTCAAATGCAGATTTTTTATATTCCTAACCAAAGCAAGATTTGACCAAAGAAAACTCACCCTAGTTCTCACCGAGTATTATTATAGTTCGTTTGCTTTTGGTTATTGTCAAGGAAAAGTTTTTCTTTTTCATTTTTTTATTATAAACTATTCTAAATACAATAAATTAAGAATTGTTAAATATGGGTGTACATGTGTTTCATTTTTTTTAAGTTGTTAAGAACTATTCCCTCACGTTCTTTTTATAAAAAAAACAAATTATAGTGTAAAATATACTAGCATTTGGTTTCTTACAAAAATGATTGAAAGTAGTATTTTATAAAATAATTTTCAAAATATGACTTTTAAGAGAGTATAAATTAGATAAAAATGTATAAAAATGCGACAAATTATAAAAAAAAACATGGATAATAAAAAACAATGTCAAAACAACTTATAAATATTCTATAACTTTTGTTATAAAAACTAAAATATAAATTAATTTACAAAAATATTTGTATCAAACAAGTTTTTTTCTTCTCAATCAACAAATAATTCTTAAATACAATGAGCAAAATATTAACAAAGTCCAACACATTAATAAATAACAAAGCTCTTTAAAGATCCTAACAAATATATTAAATAAAAATTTACTAAGAGAGATAAACCTCAACTTTTAGTAATCTCTATTGTCAGAAAGGAATTAATCTTTAATTGAAAAATATCTTATTGAAAAAAAAAAAAATTGGGAACATATAGAGCAATGGTTAATTTTTTTCCCTATTGAATTTTCAAAACATGAAAAGTAGGAGTGTATGCTTTACTATTTAATTGGATCAAAAGCAAAGTTTTGATTCTTAAATTATTATACATTCTTACAAAAAGGCAGAAAAGAAGGAAGCAGCACGTGTAGGTGTACTAATAAAAAGCCCTAGAAGCAAGTAATGAAACTCACGTTGGATTCATTTCAGTTTCACTTTCACCAAGGGTTAAAAAACAGCCTCCCTTGGTCCTTTTGCAACGAGGGACAGCACACGTGCGAGTGACCAATGAGAAGCTTTGGCGGGTAAAACTTTACTGTTTGAACCACCACCTCATCAAATTAATCTGCAAAGACAACCCACTATAACTCTCCACTGGCTAACACCAATGATTGGTCTAGCCCAAAATTCCCTAACTACCCCTACCATGCCACGTGGCGCCCAGAAAACAAGGGACACAGCATCTTTACGATGAATCAAAATGCACCCAAACTCTTCTAACACCACCAAGTTCACTTCTCTCCGTCGGTTTTCCTAACCATTTATGAAAAAATTAAGATTGCTTTGCCGCCTTTCCTTGTCTCCTTCTCTTCCTTTCCACCCACCAATTTTTTTTTTCTTTTTCATTTATATATGACTCTCAACTTTTTTTTTTTTTAAATTATTGAGGATTAAACATATTGTTATTAAAGAGAAATTACCCATGAAGGGGTAGAATGTTTTTCACTTTGGTTATGGTCAAGTCAACTAATTGAAAGCACGACTCGAGAGAAATTAATTTCCCTAATATAGTATAGAGGCATTTAAAAAAAAAAGACAATAATAAATATTTGAAAAGTAAGAGATCTGTAATCGATTATTTTATTTTACTTTTAGAAAAAAATAACAAAGTCAATTTTTTTAAAGACCTATTAATCAAAACTTTAAATTTTAAGATCTATTAGTATAAATATTTACACGATCATTTAATAAAAAAAAATGTATAATTTTTTAAAGTAGTTATTATAGATGTAAGCAAACGTATTATATGACAACATATAATTCAACGAGAATGCAAAAATATCATTATATTTACATTAATTCCTATTTTATACGACTATATATAGGAGCTTTTTTAAGCGTAGAATAGGTTACTTTAATAGTTTGTACATGGAACATGCTATTAATTATCATAAGGCACTATAAATTAAAATTAAGTGCATGTTTGCTTTTGATTATTTCTTAAAGAATTAAAAAATATAAATTAACTACTTTCTAAAACAAATTAATTCAGACACGCACAAAGTCAAAATGATCTAAAATGAATAGAAAAAAAATAATTACAATTTGATGAGTGGCTCATGAAATGCTTCATTTTATTAGTTGGGCACAAGAAACAAAAGAATAATTGATCATATGATATTTTAAGGACAATTATTAAAAACCTTGATTATTTAAACTAATTAGTTAAATGTATAGTATATATGAATATCACAGGGTGTCAACATAGTTAGCTGGCCACTCGTTTTTATATTCATTTTTTTCTGTTTCCATTTCATTTCACCATTTTCTTCTCCCTTCGATTTCTCCAGAACACCAAGGGAGAATCAATTCCTCTTCCTTGCAATTCTTCACTCTCTAGATTCTTTTCTTTCCTCATCCTCTTCTCTTTCACCTCCTTCAGAAAAAATAGAAAAAAACACAGCTTCAGATTATTATTCTAGCTGTTCATATTTTTTGTTCAAGATTATTCTGTAAAATCCTCAAACTCACAGTTTCAGCCACATTTTACTCTAAAGATCTGTGCTTTGACCCTTGGCAGGTTCATCTTTTGATGGGGTTGGAGTAGTTCTTCCTAACAAGCCATTGATTAGTCCAACTTTCTCTTTCTCTCTCTAAATTGAAAGCTTTTGTTGTTTTTCTCCTGTGTCTTTCTCTCTCTTGCTGTGGAATGCTGGGTCAGAGATTTCTGAGACATGTTCTAGCAGGCTTTTGGTGAATTGGGTCACTGTGGTTTCTGTCATGGGTGGTAGAGAATCTGAGTTCTCAGAGATCTAAGCCTCTGTGGTCTTTTGTTCACCGCACACACACCCTTTTGTTGCATAGTTGTGAAAGTGAAAGAGTGAGAGAAGATGATGAGGATGAGGAATAGTAGTGGTAGCAGTAATAATCACAATAACAAGACAAATGGTCTTTCCTCCATCATGAATGGAGGCTCAACTGGTTGCAGAGGTGAGCCTGGCTCCAAGGAGTGGGAGATGAGGCCAGGTGGAATGCTGGTTCAGATGAGAACCGCTGACTCGGATCGGAACTCAGTGCTTGTTCCCACTATTAGAGTTAGGGTCAAGTATGGTTCAATTTACCATGAAGTCAACATTAGTTCCCAAGCTACATTTGGTAACTCCTACTTTTTTTTTTCCTTTCAATTTTAATGTTATTTGTCTCCTATGTTTTCCCTTTTGTTGGTTTTCTTTACCTTTTTCTTGTTAGACAAAACTCAGATACTTAATGTTTCATACAAGTTTCTTAGGTTCTTTGTTACTGTTCTCTAATTAGAATTAGAGTTTCATCTTGTTGATAAAGATTTGCATTAAATGTAAATATAGATCACTAAGATGAAGCTGCACTTCTAATTGGAGAACAATACCAAAAGCACTTGAGAAATTGTATCCAAGTTTTATCCTTTATTGTGTTGGTTACATTGGCTATTGTGTGCGTGTGTTTTAATACTTGGGATTGCAGGGGAGTTGAAGAAAATGCTGTCAGGGCTAACTGGGCTACACCATCAAGACCAAAAGCTGTTTTACAAAGACAAGGAGAGGGATTCAAAGGCTTTTCTTGACATAGTTGGGGTCAAGGACAAATCCAAGATAGTGCTAGTGGAAGACCCTATTAGTCAAGAGAAGAGGTTGTTGGAGATAAGGAAGAATGCTAAGATGGAGAAAGCTGCAAAGTCGATCTCAGAAATCAGCTTGGAAGTAGATAGGCTTGCAGGGCGGGTATGTAATATGGTTGTTATTGTTATCATTATTGTTACTATTTTTTTTTTTTTTGGAGTTTTTTCTTTTTCATTTTCAATAACTTAATTATGAATGAGGTGGATTGTATTAAATGCTCGAGTGGTTGGGAGCTGATTATTGATTGGAATTGGTTAGGTATCAGCCTTTGAGACAATTATTAGCAAAGGTGGGAAAGTTGCGGAAACAGATGTGCTTAGTCTGATTGAGCTATTGATGAATCAATTGCTGAAATTGGATGGCATAATGGCTGATGGGGACGTGAAATTGCAGAGGAAAATGCAGGTAATGTTAAATACTTGGATGCATTTTGCTCATTTTGTTAGTTCTCGAATTGCATTGGTCATGCACTCATGGTTCCAATGGTAGTGAAACATTTTGAAGGTAAAAAGGGTAAAAAAGTATCTTGAAAGCTCTGGATTTGCTGAAAGTTAAGAATTCTGTGTCTAGAAGTACCAATGGAGAGCATGCCTGAGTGCAGCCTCAACAAAAGCATTCAAATGTATTAGATACTCCCTCTGACAAAATGGCTAAATGACTGCTGTTTAAAGTTTTTACATAGATATTAAGAATAATAAATGTATCACTTTTTGATACAATTTTATTAAAATAGTCCTACCTCTCCATAAATGTATTACTTTTAATTGTAAGGTTGAAGAATTTATGAGAAGGCAAATTAGAAAAACCAAATTTAATATTACATTGAAAATTGAGAACATAAGTCATTTTGGTACTTTTTTTCAATTGCTATAATTGCAACCATTTTGGGACGGAGGAGTCCTTGGATGCATTTTGCTCATTTTGTGTTATTAGTTCTCAAATTGCATTTGACTATGCACTCATGGTTCTAATGATAGTGAAAACATTTTGAAGGTGAAAAGGGTTCAAAAGTATGTTGAAACTTTGGATTTGCTGAAAGTTAAGAATTCCATGCCTAGTAGCAATGGAGGGCATGCCCCAGTGCAGCCTCAACAGAAGCATTCAAATGGGCAACAACAAAAGCATTCAAATGGACATAATCATAGGTTAGCACCAATTCAGGAGCAGCAACAAGAGCAAGCAAGGAACTCAAATGGGAATTCTCTAGCACTTTACCAAGACCAACAACAACAGCAACCCTCAAGGAATTCCACTTCAGGAGTTGTCGTAACCACAAATTGGGAATTGTTTGATTCTGTCCCACCATTGATCCCTGTGCCATCCACATCCACATCCACATCCCCACCCCCACACCCCTCAGTGACCAATAATAATTCAGGTCCTCCCAAGTTCAATTGGGAATTCTTCGACTAAGTACACTACACCGCGTGCTTCTGCTTGTGTGGATGTGATTTGGGTTTGTCTTCCACTTGAGTGTTATTATATGTTTTACATTCTTTTCTGTATTTAGATTTGTTTAGCAACCCCCTATAATCTGTCATTTACTTCACAAATAAATGGGGTTGCTATGATAGTGATTATCATAAAAAAAAAAAAATTACATTTCTGTGATTCTGGTGTCCACCGAATTCATTTACCAAATGTATGGGCCTATTTTTGATGGATATATGTAATATTATTATAATTCAGCATTTGTAGCTTTGTCATTGGAAGCATTAGGATTTAACCACATATTAGTGAAAGTTAAATTTCTGAGTTTAAAACATTTTTATACAATCATTCAATTACAACTATCATATATCATAAATTTATTGATTTTTTATGATACTTTTCTTGAAAGTCATATTTATAATAATTATTTTATTTGTTTCAGTGTAAAAACTTTTTCACTGTTATAGTGACCAGCATCACTATTAAACATGCCTTCGATACAGGTTTTGTTGTATTCCTTGTTGTAGCAGCATTGTACCATTGGTTGATGGCATGATAACAATTTTTCAGTTTCTTAACTTCTTGTGGGGGCTACAACTGAGAAAAAGACTAGCATCTATTAAAGTGTTTTACTAATCCATCCAATGATAGGAAGCCAAGTCCAAAAAGTGCTTCAAAAGAAGAGAAGAAGAAATGATAACTATGGATTAGAAATTACTATTAATAAATGAGAAAGTGCGCTAATGTTACCGTTTATGCACACAGGCTTTTCCACATTTAGAAACTTCCCTTCTTTGGCCTCAAGCAAAGGCCTTGAGGCTTGACATGAGTGAAGAACAAGCCTGTTTTCGCCTGCTACGCTTGCTGCACTGCAATTTAAACTGGTTATAATTCATGCAATGATTATGTAGTAGAGGGCATTAACATTTGTCCTAGTAAGCCTACAAAATCATCAACTTTTTTGTAGGTAATGATCGTAATATTACAATAGTGTGGAAGAAAGCAATCCTCTCCGGGAATGACAACTGCATAAATAATCATGTTTGAACTTGAAATAACAAAGTACAAGGCTCATGCTAATGCTAGTTGGTTCGCATGGTCAGACTTCTATTCCTACAAAGTTAGAATTTCATCATAAATCTTCACCGAAACCGGTCTTGCTTTAACTTTACATGGGAGGAATTTTGCTATCGAGTGATAGAAAAGGATTATATTGCATTGTTTTAAAAAATTAAGGGGTTAAATTAGATCGTTTAATAATAAAGAAATCAAATCAAATAAATTAAATAAAATGGGAGATAAAAAAGTAATTTAACATAATCTAATATAAAATTATTTAATATTTAAATTTTTTTTATCTATTAGAATTACAATGATAACACTAAAGTTTGAATCAAAGATCTTGTACATACTACTTAAAGTCCCTCTATCACTAGTTTGACCTTAAAGATTCTATTTAATACTTATCTAATACACATTAAAATCAATGTTGTGACATTGACATAAGTACCAAATCGCTCAATTAACGATAGTGATAAGTAAAGTCGTTTGTATGATGTAATAATTAGATATTAATAGTATAATTATGTTGACTACAAATATTGAGAAATTGAGTATCCAAATCAAAAGACAATTACAAAGAAATTAATAAAGAATAAAGTAAGAAAATTAGTTTAGGAAATTTATAGAACACTTGATACACTTGATGAACACAAAAAACTTAGTCTGTATCGAATGAATGAAATTGTTGGGGTTTAACTTTGCCAGACTTCCTAACATACAATGTATTCCTATTCAATTAAGCCTATGTAAGCATCAACCCACAAATTTATCTCAACCTTAATTCTTTAAGTTAAAAGACCCTAAATCTTTTGGTTGTACTATCAATCCCTCAAATTAGCATAACCATGCAACTTGCATAAGAAAAAGGTTAATGACACCAATTATCTTTACCATATCCTTAGGCATGAATAAAGTTGGTTGCCTTCATCAATTTACAATTCAAAAGAATTTCCCAATTACAATTTGAATCATATAATCATGTAAATAGTTGACCAGGCAATAAACAAGCATTCAGCATGAAGAAAAACAATAACAATACTTTTATTAAATAGAAACTAGCATAACTATTACATGAAAGTAGATCTAATTACATTAGAAACTAGCATAACTATTACATGAAATAGATCTAATTACATTAGAAACTAGCATAACTATTACATGAAAGTAGATCTAATTACATTAGATCTCAACAAAGAAAGATTTAGCCACTCATAATCACGGGGGAAAGAAGCAACTGAAAGTGAAACGATAGAAAATAAATCTCTCAACATCATAACCATCGCCCAACATTTTAATTGTCTTGTTTATTCAATACATAATGTTTTAGACAAATTCTAAGTAAGGTCGGGCAAATTTTTTTCCCTACTCCAAACTGACCAAGTCAAGCTTAATTTGGAGAAAGCAAATGTTTTGAAATAGGCCAATGAGTAATTGAGTTAAAAAATTCAGTTTAGGACAGGTTTATGCAGTCGAGCTCAAGTTTTTTTTAATATTTTTTTCAACCCTCCATATCCGAACACCAACGCTTATGTGTCTAGATTCATTAATCTAGTTGTTCACTCTTCTCTCTTTTCCATTCTATTTTCAGTCTCCATTCCTTCTCTACTCCATCCGTTCTCTCTTGTCTCCATGGTCGCTCAATCCTTTATCTCCTTTCTCTTTTCCTCTTTAATGACAACTATATTCATCTTTTCTCCCAAATGTTGTAAATGGATGATGCCATTTGCTATCCGTTTGGATTGCTTATGGTTGCCAACAACATCCAGATGATATTTTGTGGTTGTCAAGAACAAGATCCAAGCAATGAAATTCTTCTTATTTTTTGCATCCTTTATTTTGGTTTTCATTGTGATTAGTACGAATAGGTTTACATGTTGAAAAAGTTTCTACCTTTAACATGAAAAAGAAGATATGTACCTCATTTCTCTGCTCTTTGTTTTCAATGAGGTGTTTTTAGAGAGAAATCCTAATAATTGCCAAATATACATACATATTTGTGGAAAAAAGATAGACACTAGAAGGGGGGTTGAATAACGTATATAAAAAATTTGTACTTTTTGAATAGTGAAGTGGTAACGCCAACTGTAGAGAGTGCAAAAGAAAAGACAGATGAAACATACAGTAATTTTTATATTAGTTCGTCTCAATCATTAAGACCACGTCTAGTTCTTAATCTACTCAAATTGAGTTCCACTATCTTTAAAAAGATAAAAGTGTTCTTTTAAGAAGTCGCTTCTGGCTTAAACCCTAGTGTTCTTTGAATTGCCACTTCATGCAATCTACCCAAGTATTTTTTCAACATAAAGTTTCTCCAAACTTTAACACAAACTATTTTTTTACAGTCAAGCCTCGTCAAGTTTCAACACAAGTATTCTTTTATAGTCAAACCTCTTCAAACTCAAACGAATATTCTTTTATAGACAAACCCCTCCAGGCTCAACCCTATAACAACATTTATATCTGGGTAAAGTTTTACAAATGTTATTTCGTCTTCCAAACAAGATGTGATACAACCAAATAAGAACAAATGTCTTTACAAAAAGAATGAATAAATATTTGTACAAAATTTTCTCTTTTTCGTCGTCAAATCATCGTCCACTTCTGCTTTCTGATCTTGCAGTTCTTTATATAGAGGATTGGATGAAGATGATCGTTGCAAAACAATTTGCTTCATTTGTTAAGGAATCGGTTAGTCATGTACTACACTTTAACAGATTTGTGAGCTCTAATGGGTTCTCTTTATTATTAAGGAACCGTTTAGTTATGCACAAAATAATTGCTACTTATGATAAATAATACGTAATTAAGACTTTATGAGGCAAGAATGTATGTTTTGTCTGATGATACATCATCTGTATGAAGGTTTTCATCTTATGCATTGTCTGATTTGTATTTTACAAAAATATTTCCTTTTAGAAAAAATTCTCTATTTGTTATCATTATAACTTGAAAGCTTAATAGATCTAAAATTGTCTTTTGACCTAACACATATCCTATTTAATTTAGGAAATTATTAATATATTTTATGCATATAAATCTTATTTTTTTACGACAAAATACTTAGTCAAGAGTTAATTTTAATTTTATGATTTAATTGTTAAATACTATGTAATTTTAATATTTTTCTTTGTTGAGATATAACACAGGGAGAAATAATTTGGAAGCTACGAATTTCAAAGAGGAACCACTACTTCGAGCTTCATAGAAGACCTCTCTAAGCTAGAAAAATTCATTTAGAGTGATCAAATCATCACTTAAAGTGAGAAACAATTGAAAAAATCCCTGGAGGATCACATAAGCTTGCTCAAAGAAAACTACTTGACCATTATGAGCGAGCTAGTGCTCTGAGTGAGCCAAAACAAAGAGCATCACTAGAGCACGCATATGCTTGCTTAGAGTGGGCCATATGGGTGCTCTCAACAAGTATATTTGACCTAAAAGTCTATTAAAAAATATTACAAAAATAGAATCTCTAGGAGGTATCTATATCCATTCTTACTTTTAAAAACACAATTTTAAAGAGATTAGAGAGTTATTGTGAGATTAATCTTGTAATCATAGGCTTGTCAAAGGTCCTTCTTCTCTTATGTAATCCTTAATCATAAGTGACTAAGTTATCTACTATTGGAGATTGGTGTAACTGTTGTACTCATATAATCTTCCTTGTTCTTATTCAATATATTATTTTTATTCATTTAATCGCTTTTACTTTGTTCTTAATGGGTGCTTTGGCCAATGCATGATTTAATAATTTTAACCAAGATTGGGAAAACTTTTTAGAATTACAATCTAGGTAAAATGCTCATAATATTTTTTACTGAGAAATCGAGATAAATCTTATCAATTGACTTTTGGTCTTTGACCTTAATGTATAATTGTTTAACAAAAGTTACCAAGAAATTGGAAATTCTCTTAAACAACTTAGAATTTTTCGTCTAAGGAATTATGATTTAAATATAATAATGAATTGTCAAATTAATTGAATAATTATAATGTTGAATGAAAAGTAGGAAGGATTTACATGGAGAAGATTAATAAAATCAATCTCTGATGACTGCTCTCATCATTATATAAATTCAAAATCTTTATTGCTTTTGTTACATGCTTTTCTATAAATTTTCGTATTTCATTCTAAACAATTTTAAATTCCTTTTATTCATGTATTTAATATCAAAATTATATTAAACAATTATAAATTAAAGTTAATG